CAGAGTTATTATTCTGCACATATACAGAGTCATATGTAAGTTAAAATGTTAGTTGGAATTGATTGCAAAGCAGAAAATTTAGATTCAGTGACATTTTGGTTCATTCACTCCTGTCTCCAATTTAAACATTTTCTATGATCATGGATTACTGCACTTACAACCACAATATACAACTTTGAATAAGATGAAATATCAAGCGTATCTTACATTATATTATACTCTAATATGGTTTTATTACATTAGGATTTCGTGTCAATGTATTGAAAGTTCATGATTGGAAAAGTCATGGCAACAAGGTCAGCCAATGAAGAAACATGGCAACTGGGTCAGCCAATGAGGGCTGTTTGAAAACTGAAACAGTATTTTCTATGAGCAACAAAGAGACAGCATGGAGCCTGGGCATGGCTTAGCTCTGCTGCTCTGAGTCTGTGCTGAGCTCAAAACTATTCTGCTGCTTTGAACTGAAACTGAAACTATTCTCTCCTCTACCTGTGTTTGCTTGCATTTACAGCACGTTGGAAAACCTGCCTTTTGCTATTGTATATTTATTTTATGTGTTATTATGTATATAAAGAGAAGTTAATGAATCCTGCTGAATCAGTTACCTGTGTGTACTTTCTGGATGTGATTACTGCAACAAATTCTGACATTTCGTATGTTATATTTATTTATTTATAAAAAGCAAAGATAAATTTTGGTTTAGTACAGCATGTGATCCAGATAACATTCAATTTGGTACATAGTAACTTTTATAGTCCTTCTCCCAAGTGTCTGTACAGCTTAATCTATTTGTACTTAGCTATCGTATGTTGAAACTAAATACATAGACATAGACACAAGTAACGAATATATCAAACAAGAAAAACATCTTCTTGAAAAGAACTGAATAATGTTAAAAAGACAACTTAATATACTTCTATGAGAAAAATGAAACAAAGTTCACATTGTGCATGGCTTTCTTTTCCTGAAAAGCAGTTATCATCATATTCTAGTACTGCACTGCAGCATGCTTTTAAATCAGAATTTACAAAACAATTTGTGATGCAGCTTAGATGGATATTTCTGTTAACAGTAGGTAGTTTTGTTGTGAGGGGAAAAAAGAAAAAACTCTATTGTGAATCCATCTTGTAGGCTGAAACTGGTGCCTCATAAAAAAGCCACAAGAGGAAATATGAAAAATATGAAACAGAACAAATATGAAAAATGCAAAATATAGCAATTAGTTCACACCACACTTTTCTTTTGGGCTGTAAGTGCAGAACTAGCTGCCTATTACTCACACATTTTTAAATATTCCTATCTTATTTTATGAATAAAATAATATATTTTTAAAGATGTACATTACAGATTTGGAGATGCTTAATAGAAGTTCTATACTGGTGCTCACAGTCACAATAACTGGCTTTTGCTTGCCAGGTATGTCAATGTTCCCACTCATTAAAAATAAAGCAGGTAATTTCTGAGATGGCCCTGGCACATAAGCCGAAACTGTACCAGCCGTGAAAAGGAAAATATGAATTAATATCAGCCTGCCTTAAGCTGACATCATCTTGGGATATGATTTATTTATTCATCCATTCATTCTGCAAAGCTTTAGTCCTATTAACTGGTCTATTCAATTAATAAATAGATAAATGATGAGCAAGGACAGGGGAAAGGTTAAAAAAACAGGGTAGAATCATAGGATAAACAGATCTAGGCTATGCAAACATATATCTCAAGATTATATCATACTCCACTTTTCAGTGGGGAAATAAAACCCCAGAAATAACTGCTGTAGTAACTGCAGGATTGGTAAAGCAAAGATCAAGCACAGGAGCCAGGTTTGGATCTAGATATGAACTATAATACTAGGATATAAAACAATGGATGTATTAGACATATTTCTGGGAAAAAAGCAACACCTCATGCTTTAAAACAATCCATTATTAATATCTTAATATCTGGCCTCGATTCATATAAGCATTATTGCTAGGACTCTGCTTTATCTTTCTTGATTCTAGACTATGAAGTGTCTTGAAAAACTTCCCCTGATCTAGGTGCTTTTGAGGCATATCATTCCTAGAATTAATAGTAAGAATGATTATTATTCAAATTGGTGGAGTTGAAATGTTGAGGGAAGCAGAAGGAATAGACTGGCTTATAAGCACTGTCTCCGAGCCCATATTATATACATAGATACAAGAATCTGTATGTTCTTCACAGTGGTGGGATTCAAAATTTTTACTACTGGTTCGGTGGGTGTAGCTTTGTGGGCATGGTTTGGGGGGGCATGACGGGGGAAGGATCCTGAAAAATCCACATTCCCTCCCCACCAGGCATTTAGCCAGTTCGCACCAGTCCACCCAAACCGGTGGTGGAAATTTTGCAAAGTTTGGTGAACCGGTAGCAATAGCCAGCTGGCCACGCAATCGAACCAGTTCCCCTATAGCCGCTTGCTTTCCCCGCCTGCCTGGTTGCTGCTCACTCACCCCGACACTTTTCATACCAGCTTTCAAAGAGGCAGCGGATGGCTGCCAGCCACTGAAAAGTCCTCCAGCCGGCAAAAAAGCTGCTGCCGTTGCCGCCATGTTCTTTGTGCATGCACATCCCGTTGCCTTGCAAGCCTGCTTGGACTTTTCAGTGGCCTGCAGACAGCCACCGCCTCTTTGAGAGGTGCTTTGCAAAGGGGCTCTCAAAGAGCCAGCAGCTGGGAGGCTTCTTTGCCAGCCAGCCATTTCCCAGCAGTGGCGGCAGGCTGGGAGCTGCCAGAAACTCTGGTCAACTTGCCTTCTGGACTCTGGACCAGCCACTGTGGAAGGTAAGCAACCAAAAAGGCATGGTGGGGGAGGAAGCGGGGCTAGGGCTAGGGCTAAAGAAAGGCAAACAGGGGTGACTGGCGAAGGAGGGCGGGGGTAGATAGGGAGAAATCCCAAACATTTTCCTACCTTTTCCTATGGGCATGGCTTGGTGGGGGGGTGTCTTGGGACCGAGTGGGTGTGGGCGGGGTCATGAGTGATATCAAGTTGGCCAATGTGGCCACTCAGTCGCATGCCCCCACTTAGCCACGCCCACCAAACTAGTAACAAAAATTTTTGAAACCCGCCATGGCTCCCCACCCCACTAACCTGCTTTCCAGCTCCATTCTCCTTCAGGGCAACAAAAAAAGATCAGCTGGGAGGCAGTGAGGGTGGGGCCTACCTATTTGCCAATTCTCCAAACTACAAGCAAAATTTTTGCTACTGGTTCTCCGGAACCTGTCAGAAGTGGCTGAATACCACCTCTGGTTCTCCAGATGTTGAAGAATATTTTAGCATTGCTCATTTCTCTTTTTTTTTTTTCTTTTTTTTTTTCTTTTTTTTTTTTTCTTTTTTTTTTAATGTATATTTTATTATGTTTTCATTCTATACAATCACAT